CGCTGCAGAGGCAAAACATCTTTTGGAATTTTTAAAACATGTTTGGATCATTGCTTAAATAATAAAGATTATTTATCAAGTACTTCTGTGTGGTAATAATGGCTTAATCTTAATTAGGTGGTTGCTGATAAAGCAATTTTTTTTCACTTGTAATAGTCCTGTATTACTGCTACACAGTTGAGGTTGTGTAATAGTGTCTTTCCTCTCGCGTGTGGTCTTTTGGTTTCTTGCCCCCCTGAGTCGTGGTACAACTACTCTTAAGGTTATGTGACTACTTCATTCTTAGAGAGACAGAAGTAGTCATTGTTTCATAATGATGTTGGTTTAATCCTGCAATGTTTTTGAAATTCAATATATTTTTTTTAGTAAAATAATCTGGGAAATGTGATACATTTCTGTAAGAAAGTTGAATTGTGCTTGCAATGAGATTTCATCACTTGCCTTTTAATGCTAGTCAAACTAGATAGAGGGTCTGATTAGATGAAGAGGCTTCCTGTACTGTTCATAAATACAATGGCTATGAAAATTACTTTTGTATGGCTTCTCCTGAAACAGGAGCTAGGAGGAGGGTGGCAATTTTGCTGTATTTGTAGCTGGAAATTTCATAGATGAACAGACTGAGCAAATTGTGGTATATGCAAACTCTTGCACAGCCCTACAGTGAACTAAAGCATTATGAACATAGTGTTTGTTTTTTCAAGGTTACTCCTCTATGCAGAAGTTTGTTGTGCAAAAAAAAGGGGGGGGGGGGGAACGGGGACTTAAATCTGCCGTTATGTGGAGAGGTCTGCAGTTATGTGGAGAGTTCTGTTAAGTCCTGCAGTGTTCTTGTTCGTTAATGGCGAGAACTGGAGTTCATCAGTGCTTCCTCTGCTTGTGTGACCCTTTACATTCGGAGGTTTCTCTCCTTGTGCTACATGGCAGGTTGTGTAGAGGGATTTTTCTCCCTGCTGGCAAGTTTTTTTGCCTATGCCCATAAAATATGTTGATGAAGATGATAAAATAGAGTAAGGAGAAGTGCATTTGGTATATTACCTTTGTAAAGTGATTTACCCGCCAGCCATATGGAGGTCACTATGTATTTGATGTGGTGGTGACCCTTGAATGGACGCCACTAGTATAAAATGGTTCACTTGAAATTTACTTTACTCTGAAAGTTTGGCAAGGAGCAGTTTGCACTGAAATTGTGGGTGCTTTTTCAGAGTTGTTTACACAACTCTGGTTCCTTGAGACTTAAGAGAATAAGAGGAGGAGCTGAGTGTTTCAGGATGCTGATAAAATTGATATGGATAAGTTATCTGCCAGTTATTAATCAACTTGAGTTTATTTTTCCTTCAGTCAGAAACTTTAAATTCCTTTTTCTTTTATGTTTAGTGACATGGCGTGGCTGGCACCTTCTTAGCTTTTCATCTTGAGGCTTTAAGGAGAAAGCCCTGTAGCTGGCCAAGTGTTCAAGCCTGCTTTTTCAGTCATTTGCCACCCATCTCCAATAATGAACTATTGTGGTGACTGCATTATTATTTTTTTCTAACGTGGAAATGATTTAAAAAAAAAAAAAAAGGCATTCTATGCTTTGCAGTCAAAGGAACATGCTTGTGCTGCAGTTGGCTGTGCCAGAAAAGGGGTGTAATATTTTATGATGTTGAAAAGTTGGTGATACGGAGATCTTCCACTTGGAAGATACGCCTCTACCCTTGAGAGAGGAAAGAAAAGCTGATGCAGCTTCTTTATGGACACTTGACTTAGTAAGTCTCTTGATAAAAGTTGTAGTAATTCCATCATAAAAATTACTGCTTTATGCTTAGGAGAGAAAGCTGAAGAAAATACATGTTGTGTACAGATGAGACTGTTTTAAGAGTTGTTTCCTGAAAGTAGCATCTCTTTGCCTTTGTTGAGCTATTAAAAAAGGCTATTGTCAAAGGAGTGATGGTGGAATATAAAAATTCATTTGGTTATAGCTGCATTGCATTTAGTCACTACCTCTGCATATGCTAAGTTTTGTTAGCACAGTTGGAAAATTAAATGAATGGGTAAGTGTTTTTCCATCATGATTTTGTGCAACTCGCATCTTGCATAACCTTAAGAACTTTGGTACCTATGCTGGTGGTAAACCTAACTGGTAAATGCGAGATGTGTAGGTGCACGTGAGCAGAGTTCCATGCTGCGTCTCTTAATGATAATTGACTGTGCAAGTGCCTCTTGGGTGCTGCTGAAACATTCCTGACTTCACTGAAAATAAGGCAAAGGGACTTGCTCCTTGTCTTTTTCCTTTAAGTTGTCCAAAATTAACTTGTAAACAACATTCGAGTTTTAGTAAACAGGAGAGGGTAGTGAAATACTACATGTAAGATGAGAAGCAATGGAAAAAGCTTTGAAAAGAAAAACTTTTTTTTCAGGCTTCAGTTTCTTTTAGTTTTGTACCTAACTCAAAAACTGAGTTTTTGAGATCTGAGGCTAGTATATAAGAACAATGAGAAGTGTCTGGACTTTATCCATCTTTGGAGGTCACTGAATAAAATTTTTATGTGTATTCTATATCCCTTAGTTTCTGATCTCTACAGAACACATAAATATCTCTTGTACATAGGTTGAGATGCCACTACTTGCGATTTTTAGATTGTCTTGGGAAAGTAATTAGTTTTCATTCCAAATTAATTGATTATTTACCCTCTAAAGTGAATTTTGTATCAACAACAACAAAAAAAACTTCAAGCTTGCTACTGGGGAATTTCCTAGCCTCTAGAAATTTAAGACATTTCTTATTCAGTCCCTGTAGACTATTGCTATCACTATTATCTGCAACTTCTCTGGCAATTGACAGGTTCATCGTAGTCTCCTCTGTAGAGTTTTGTTGGATTCCCCTTGTGTGTTACCAGAATGATAGCAGCTGCTATAAGGAGGAAAGAAAATAGAATCATTTCCTACCTGGATGATCGGTTCATTCAGGAAATGCCTGAGAGATTCAAGCCACAGCCTGAATTGTATCAGCAAAAGCAATTTGTCTCTCTGGCTATTTCCATTGCTAGAAGTAGTAGTCAACAGGGACAAAAATATTGTAGTCTGAGATTCATGTAAGAGTGAAGAAATTTTAAATACACAGGATCACTGGCTTCTCAGCTGACTTAAAAATCAAAATAGTCTTTTTCCTTCTCTAATGTGGTTTCAGATGCGTCGCGCGTGAACATTCAATCTTCTTAGGTCCCTGACTTTCATGCTGTAGCATTCTACACAGTGGACTAATTTCGAGCTGCACCAAGTAGCTTCCTGAAAACTTAAGAATTTGATGTGGGTAGATTCAGCTTTATCCTGAATTGGGGGGGAAAAAAGGTAACTTACCTTTGTATGCTGGATGCACCCTTCTTGAAATAACCTTCTTTCATGAATATTTACAGAAAAAATGGTATGTTGTGATTCTTGTTCAGTAGTAGCTGTGACTGTTCAGACTTGCTGCTATTGAGCAATATTAAAAGGCACTTGCAAATACTTCAATTGGTGCAAATTCACTGGAGCCTTTCTGGAGAAGGTACAAAAAATTCTACTGTATGTGCTGCTGGCTGTCACTCAAAGGTGTATCATGCAGCCTGTCAGTCCAAATCATTTCAATTTGACCAATAGAAAGGATGTTTTAAGGAAATGCTCGGTTTTAAGTCAGAAGAATAAAGGATATAACTGCATAGGGCCACTATTCTTTACCTTTCATTTGACTGAAGTATGGTGATAGTGTCTCATGGGGAATTAATCCAGACCCCGGCTGCAGGGTGCTGGAGGGAGTTAGTGAGTGGCTGTGTTGTGCTTAGCTGCCCTCAGGGGTTAAACCACAACACTAGGCGACTATTCTGTGCGCTCGGGTTGTAGTTTGAGGATCCTGGCCCAGAGGTCCAAGCTTGCAAATACTCTCATAACAGCAAGTCCAATTTTTTAAAATCGAAACTTGCATGGAAGGAAAAAAAAGATGCAGTTTATGTTAACTGTATAGATTAAAAGATCAGTGATGTTTTAAAAAAAAAAAAAAAAATTTCGCTTCCTTTCCTATTCCCCAGCAGG